ATGGCTGGAAACTGGGGAGCCCCCTGCCCAGGGCTTCCTGTGCAGGGGGGAAGGCGCAGTCTCCACCTGCCCGCTGCTGATGAGGGAGCGTCAGGCACCTGGGGGCACAGGCAGGAGAGGCCCAGGCCCTGCAGCCTGCCCCAGATGAGCACTGAGGGTGGCAGCTCTGGGTGTGCTGACACTGCACTGCGTGTGACCTCCCTGTCTAGGGTGTGTAGCCAGCTCAGGGCCAGCTTAGTGCCCAGGGTCCTGGGCACTCGTGCCGGGCCCGTGCAGCCCTGCAAGCTGACAGCCTCCTGCAAATCTGGTATTTCCTCCCGCCTATGGAAAGGTAGATAGACATTCAGTCCCCCCATGAAATGAGATTTTGTTCCCATATGATGGCATTTTCCATAATCGTCACTGATATCACTGAGGTTGGGAGCTGCTTTTCCTAACTGCCCGTGAAAGAATATTTTAGACTTTTACATTTCTTCTTCTGGCAGAAAGTCTCATCTGTCCCCACCAAGTACAACTGATGCCACAGCACTGAAACTGCACTCTAATTGAGAACCCCTGAACAAGACCTCAGGGAACGAACTTTTTAGCCATTTTATATAAAATGAGAGAGGCTCTGCTCCTCATTTCAGCCTTCTGTGCACCTGCTTCTGACAGCAGCAGTTCAGAATTTAGAGAGATCCTTGACATGCCTGGCCCTTCATCTGCGACAAGCTTATCAGAAGTGTCTGTTTTATCCTCATTTCTGAGGGGCCCTATTCAACAGGGGCCCTGTCCTAAACCTTAACACCTTTCAATATGTTTCATCATCTTTCTGACTGAGGATGTTTTACAAGAATAACATCTAAATCCCAAGCTGCTTAAATTTGTCCTTTTCTTTTTTTCTTTTTTGTTTTGTTTTGAGACAGGATCTCCCTATGTAGTGCAGGCTGGCCTTAAACTCACTATGTTGCCCAGGCTGGCCTTGAAGTCACAGTGAGTGCTGGGATTACAGGTCTGCGCCACCATGCCCAGCTGTCCTTTTATTTTCTTTTCCACTTTCTTCTTCCTTTGCAGTAAAAGAGAACAAGATGGGTGTAATTTTCCTGCAAGTCATTTCTGCGATTTGGTATATTACTGAGCCTGGAACATGGGTGTGTATAGGAATTAGCCACATCGCCTCCCCATCAGCTCTGGGATCCCGTGTCTCCTTATCGTCTTCCTACAGTTTATCAGTAGGTTTCCCAATAATCAGGGAAGGAACAAAACCAGCCTCATAGCCACTTAGAGGTACATGGGATGTTTACACAGACCTTTTTGTTAGGGACAAGTTGTGAATGTAAGCCAGCCAGATGTTCTGATAATACCGCAGAGATGGTTACATCAGAACTGGGGAGATGCCGGCTGTGTTACACACTTAGTACTCAGCTGGGAGAAGGATGGGGTCACTTTTGCAGCGACTTCAGGGCAACAAGCAGTCCTGGTTTCATTCAGGGTGGCTCTAGACCTGGGGGTTCTAGTCCCTGATGGCAATTAAATAACACTGCCCTTGGATTCTGTTTTCCCTTGGTCTCCCAAACTGGGAATGAGACAGCAGCAACTGGGGACTCCCTTGCCCTGTTGTCCTTATCAGGGAGACCAGCCGTGCCTGCTGGGTGGGAAGCACAGCTCAGCGTGTCTCAGCGGGTCTCCTCTGCCCTGTCCCAGACTTGGAGGGGACATCACATGTCTCATGCTTATCGCCCTCAGGGCCAGTGGTCGCCATGCTAGCAAAGCCCTGTTACTGGATACAAGAGAAGCAGCAGAAGGAAGCAGTCCTGTGAATCCTAGTAAGAAAGGGAGCTCCTTGTGGGTTTGTCCAGGTCTCCAGGTGCCAGGTTGGGAACTGAAGTGGGCGGGGGCGGCTGGCTTGGAGGGTGCAGCCTGGCAAAGGAGAAACAGCATAGGGAGTCTACGACAGGCCTCGGTTAGAACTCTGTGACTTAGTCCCTGCTGACATCAGTGACGAAGCAGGGTCCTAGAGGACAAGAAGAGGGGGGCCTGCGAAGAGAGAGAGGACAGACACTGCAGAAGAGGACGGGTGGCTGGGGAGAGGGCCCAGCTCAGGTACCCGAGGCCCCGCAGGAGCAGAGGGGAGTGTCAGGTCCCACACTGGCACCGGCTGGAGCCATGTGCACCTCACCACACGGGGGCTCATGAAGGTGCCCATGGCCCAGGACACAGAGCCATCCTGTCTCCCCGTAGCCGCTTTGCTCCCACCTTGGCGCACACTTCCACCTCCTGCCTGGCTCCTCGGCACCTTTCAGTATCTGCTCGTAGGAGCGGATGCCGTGAGACCCGATTGCAGCTTGCCTGCTTATTTCCTTTGAGTCACTTTTATGGTCCGTCTGTCCTTTATAGGTTTATTTTCGATGTTTACAGCTGTCTCTGTTCCTAAACTGTGACCTCTGCAGGTTGGGACTATACAGCCATGCACGATGCCTAGCACAGGATGGGTGCCAGTGGGTATTAATGGCATGAGCGAGTCCTCAGGTCTGCCCTTGGGGAGACAGCCCCAGCAGCAGGGTGGAAAGAGGCAGGGAAGGAATCGAAGGCTGGTGGTGATGAGCAAATGATTCGGAGGCTGGTGAGGAGTGGAAAGCCCCTAAGCCACTGTCCCAACAGACATAGGGTGAAGAAACAAGGAAAGAGAGTGGAGGAGTTGCCGATTGAGAGGTCACAAGAGCAGTCAACCTGACACCAGGATATAGAAAGGTAGGTGGACAGGGAATTCAGAAGAGCAAGGACAGGTGGGGGTCCGCTTTGGATGTGTTGGGTCTGGGCTTTCTGTATAGAACGTCCATCAGATATTTACTGAGATTTATGGCTCTGGAACAAGGTGAAAGACTTGAGGGCCATTGGTTTATGCATTGATTCATCTACACATTCAACAGTCCCTTAACAACTTTGTCTTACACATTAGGATACAGTGGTGGATACATCAGCCAATCTGGTTTTCACAAATATCATAGTCTAGATAGGTAGCTGATGGACACAGATAAAATAGTTCGGAAGTGGGGAACCCACCGTGGGGAGCAGCAACATTTAAGAGGTAGACAAAAGAAACGAGGCCGCCAGGAGAGCGTGAAGATCTGAGTGACGAGTACGCCACTTCCCCAGGTCTTGCATCAAACTCAGCTGAGTCTCTCAAATACATTCCTTAGTTTTTTGGTGGCAGGATTAGAGTGCCTGTATTTATATTCACTCAGTGCAGAAATTCTTGTTAATTCTTCCTTAAAATAAGGGATTTCAAAGATTGGAATGGAAGCAAGTATCAGCCCGTAAATCAAATGACAAAAAGAGAAGAGAGCAGAAGCTAGAGACTAACTGGATTTTCCTATTCAGCTCTGAATTCCTTGTTATACGTGTTCTAAATCAGCCCGAGTCTGTGTTGTGGCTGGATTTCCTTTGTGATTATCTTTAGGATAAATGTGATCTTACTCGTGTCCCAATAAGAAAGAAATGTTTTGGTCTGTTTTGCCAAAACCTCTTTAGAGAATTTTTGTTTATTAATTTTCCTTCTTCTCAGTTCTCTTAATCCAAGAGATAGTGCCTTAGGCACTTAACGAATAAAAGCCAACTGAATACCTGGGTGTGGGTTGTTTTGACAGGTGAAATTTCTTAAGCATATTTAAATCAGACTTCATCATTGTATTATAAAGCAGTTAATGACTATGGAATATCCTAAAAATCAGAATGGTTTTATCTAAAATACCAGAGATGTGTGCTGAATATCAAAGTTAACTGAAAATTTTTCTTTTAAATCTCAGTAAAAAATCTTCCTTATCCAAAAATCCATTGTAACCAAAACAAGAATAACTCATACTTCCATTTGTAATCCACCAAAACATTAGCAATTTTTGCATATACTTATGTGGGTGATATTTGATAAATATACTGGTGCCTATTCAATACCATATACGAACTTGCTTTCTCCCAGTAGTCGAGAGAAAATAGCTTTTCTTTTAAAATCCATTTCATCTGTGGATTGCTAGATACTCAGATTGGTCTGTTCTCTTATGTTGCATGTCTTAAAAGTTATGTTTCTTATTGCAAAGAAGAGTTATTTTAAAAATCCTTTCAGTTAACAACTTCTTCTTTGAGCCAAAGTTTAAAGCTGGTAGACAATAGCTTATTAGACAGATCCTTAACTAGAATATACCTGTGGTAGGCTACAATCAGAAAACTTTGGAGGCAGAGAGTTAAAATACATGTGTTAGATTTTGGATTTTTTGCCATTTGTATGTTTCTGAATATGCCATGAAATTACCAATGAGTAATTGGTGACAGAGTTCATATTAATTATCTTAACGGAAATTAACTATATTCAGAAAAATGAAGGGGATATCAAATTCATGGATTCATCAATTTTGAACCATCAGTTTACATTTTATCAAAAAATATTAACCAACACAAAAATATTTGTTCTCTAAGCATATCTAAATTTTTATTTGTGCACAGAATAATTTCCTTTTATATTTAATGGAGTAAGCTTGCTTTTGCTATTGTGGCTTTTTCAAATCTCCCCTGGTAGTGCTTCTAGAAAGGGAGTATAACATCTTTAAATCTTGTTTGGGTTAAATAAACGCATAACTAATCCTGATCTGATGTTTCTTTAGAGAATAATGTTTTAAACTATTGTGGAATTTGGCTGTCCTGGCTGTTCTTTGGCATGAGACTTTTATCCCGTTTGTTAAGGTCTCAGAGGTCACTCCGGGTAACCATTTCTTTCAAATTATCTTTTGTTTCAGATTTCCTGTTGAATTTTTTTAGACTGTCTCAAAAACCACCCTGTTGTGTCACAGCTTACCACAGCCTCCGGAGTGAAACCCAAAGCTCTCTCCCTCACCAAATGGCTACGTCCGCACACAAGCCGGGCCCAGGCCTCGGAGGCGAAGGGCACTGCCTCTAATCATTGTGACCATGTGGAGCTGTGCTGTGGGGCGCCCCACTCATTATGCTGTCTTCTGTTTTTGTTTCCACAGGACATCTGGGCTTCCAGGACAGCTTCGTCACGTCAGGAGTCTTTAGTGTGACTGAGCTTGTACGAGTGTCACAGAGTGAGTATGATTTCATTCGATGTGGTGCAGATTGGCCTTGGGTCTGTGTTTACTTTCCATCTGGGCCTCCCAGAGGCAGAGAAGCTCCCAGAATCCTTTTCATGCTCCACATTGGGAGGATTGTGCTGGGCCAGGACTATAGACAGAGTCAGATTTCTGTGAAAGGGGAGGGGAAACGTGGAAGTCTGTGTCTCACATGTTCCCTACTATCACTACAAATTTGATTTTTACAAGTTCTGAGTCTTCTCTGAATCCTAAGAAACTGCATTTCAAAACAGCGTGCTTCTGACCTTTAACAATGCTAATGTCCTCGGTGTGAGTGACATGGGCAGTGTGGTCATTACCGGGCTGTCGATACGACCACAGCCTGCCGAGGAGCTGCTGTCACCGCCTGCTCCGTTGATCAAAGGCCTATTGATTACGCTTTTGCTAGGACACCATGCAGACCATGTGAGGAGAAGTTCAGGAGCCTGTCTCTGTTGCCTCTGTCTCTCCTTTTGTCTCTCTGTCTGTCTGTCTGTCTGTCTCCCAGTACACAGTTACCCCTTGAGAGCACTTCAGTTTTTATTTAAAAGCATGGCGACAGTGACTATGATGTTCTAGGTCCTAATAAAAAGGAAAAAGAAATACCAGATACTAACATTTTCTCCCCATGCATGCCTCTTTAAAATACCAAGCAGGGGCTATTTACATTAGCAAAATGACTCCCAGGAGCATCGAAGCCAGTGGGATGAGATGGGGGGCACGCCCATGTACCCACAGCCCCGCGCACAGAAGGGCAACAACTGTCCAGGCTCCTCAGCCTGGCTGTCTCCTTCCTTCAGTTCTTCACAGTGGGACAAGTCTTCAGGGCCCTAAAGGTGAGGGAGAGCCCAGGGCAGAGGAGAAGCTGGGCCAAAGAGCGTTTCCTGCCATGGCTGGGCCAGGCCCTGGGAGTGGCTCAGTTAATCCCTGCAGGCATCTGCTTGGCAGGAAGTCCCTACCTGCCACCTTCTGGACGAGTGAGCTGAGGGTCCAGCTGAGTCAGCCTCACAGTGGTAGAACCCACACTCTGGTGCCCAGGGGAGTTTGGAGAAACCACCAGGTGGGGCTAGCCAAGGGGACTGGTAGGGCAGGATGTGAGGTGTTGGGTTCTGGGGCCCGGATGAGGGTCCGAGGAGATGGTTCAGGGCAGGCCCTGGGAGCAGTGGGCTGGGACAGGAAGCATGGAGACAGATGCCGCTGCCTCCCACTGGGTGGCCCGGTCAAGGCATGGAGCCAAGCAGCTCTGCCCTGCTGGCCATGGCGCCCAGGCAGCACACAGCTCTGTGCATGCATGTGCAGAGAGGTTTCAACATGGCCAGTACTCTGTGTTTTTATAACTAAGGTCAGCAGTAATACATTGAACCCTTACTGGGATCCAAATATAGCCTTAAGAAGAAAAGAAAAACACCACCAGCCCCTTTCTCTACCATGGTTGGCACTCTGGACCGTTTCACTCTCCACTGGTGCTGGCCATGCCCTCCACGCCAGGCCCACAGGCCTGGACTGTGGCGGATCCAGCACTGTGCAGTGCTTTCCTCCAGGTTCTCCCATCACCCTGGTCCTCTGGTCCTGATGGTACACCTGTCCATAAGGCCTCCAGGGCCTGGCCTGGGCAGGAGGACTCAATCCACTTTCTGCCCCACGGAGGGCTTGAGTCACCTGTGCCTGGCACTATATCACCCTCAGGCTCCTGACGACCCCCAGACCTACACACAGGACTGGGGCTGTGCCTCAGGCTCGCTAACTGAACCCATTTGGTAGGTGCTGGCTGTAGCTTTGGGCCAGCCTGGTGGATGTGCTCCGGAGACCCCTGTTCCTCAAGACCTGGGTTCTGGGTTTATCCAGGGATGTCCTGGGATGGACCCCTACACTCCTGTCTGAAGTCCTTCCCCATCCCATGGTGCAATGCTGTCCCCCTCCAGCCTCCGTGTTAGGAGTCTATGCAGATGGCGAAGCTGGGTATGCCTAGGTCCTTCGATAGAAACACACTGACCGGTGCTGGGCCAACTGAGCCCATGGTGCTGCCCTGGCTGGAACAGAGGCAACGTGAATATTCAGAACCGTTGTCATCACTGGTGTTTACAAGGTACAGCCCACATCAGCCCTGAGCTAGCCACCCAGAGCTGGCGGTGGCCTACATTCCATCCTTCCCTCTCCTGTGACTGCCACACCAGCAACTAAATAGGACCCAAGGGCTCTGTGCTGCCCTTCAGCTTTCGAGTTCAAAGGTTAACACTAATGCATGTCAATCAGAACACGTCAAATACTTAATCTCAATTTTTCCTGGATTTGTTTTCAGGTACCATTTTGTTTTTAATTAATGGACTTCACAGTTCTCATTTTTTGTGGTGCTGGGGATGGAACCCGGGCCCCACGTGTGCCAGGTAGGTGCTCGTGGCTGGTCTGTACCCCTCAGTCAGAGCAGTTTTGAGGCTACAGAAAACACCCAGGTCCCTGGTCACCCCCAGCAACTCCCACTGCTAGCATGTGTTGTCAGCCTGGGGCAGCCCTGCCGCCCTGGATGTGTTTCTCAAAAACGTCAAACTAAGGTGCGTGCATGACCAGGCCCACAGCTAACATTAGGGATTGGGGTTCGTGCTTGAACTGGTACATGTTGCGGTTCTGTTGGTCTCAGCAAGCACACTGTGTGACACGTGTCTGCTGTCAGTGCGTCCTGGGGCAGCGTGCGGTCCAGAGACGCCGCTGACTGCCTGCTGCAATCCCCAGAGCCTCGGTGCTGCCTTTCATCCGCGCGGTTGCTCTCCTCTCAGTATCCTCCTGGCCCTGAACAGCCCTGCCCAAGGCTTGCACCACACAGCGGGGCAAGCAGGACCACAGAGGTGGTGGGAGAGCACAGTCACTGGTCAGGATGGCCTCTCGCTGAAGAAAATGCTCTGGATATCACTGTTCGACTATGAATTTGATACTATAAATATGCACTTTCCCCAGGTTCCCAGTCAATTTGTTTTTAATTTCCCTCCTTTTAATAGTGGGAGAGGTGCTGGTCCCTATCCTCCGGAGGGCGTCCCGGAGGGGCTGTACTAAGTCCTCGTTGATAGCGGTGTCACCACCGAGGTGGCCTCGGCAGGGAGCACAGGGAGAGGGGACAAAGGGGAGGACCACAGGCTGCAGTCAGAAAGGCCTGGGCCGCGGGGTCAGGCCCCGGGGACTCCTCATCTGAAGGCCAGGGAAGGCGGGAAAGGTCAGCCCGGAGGCCGCAGCAAACGAGGACTGTCCCACGAACACGAGTCTGGTTGCTGCCTTTCCCCCACACGGCAGGGCCTGTGGAGGTCTCCGGGCATTCAGGACTCTCTTCTGTGAGAGGGGAAATACAGACCAGGCCGCGGGGGAGGGGGACTAGTGGGGGGCTTAAGAGGGGCAGGGGAGGGGAGGCGGGGAGGGACGCAGGACCTCACACACAGCTCGGCCTCCTCGCCCAGAGCTCTGTCCGCGCAGCGCCTGTGGGATCGAGCCGGGCGTCCTCGGAGCCCGAAAGGTCGCGTGGCCCGCCCGCGTGGCCCACAGCGCCCCGCCCAGAGTCCCCCGCTTCCGC